ATGTCAACGCACGTTAATAAAATTTGTAATTCCGCGTTTTATCACCTACATAATATTAGGAGGATTAAGAATTATTTATCTCGCGATTCGTTATTAACGCTTATTCATGCTTTTATCACTAGTCGTTTAGACTATTGTAATGGACTTTTGTATGGCCTTCCTAAGTCGCAAATAGCCAAATTGCAACGTGTGCAGAATGCTGCGGCTAGACTTGTACTGAGTTTAAGTAAGTATTCGCATATTTCTCCTGCGCTTTGTCAACTTCACTGGTTACCAGTACAACATCGTGTTCATTTTAAGATCATAATTTTAACATTTAAAGCTATTCATGGATGGGCGCCTAGGTATATCATTGAACTAATTAACATCAAGCCTAGGTCTGTATATAATCTTAGATCAAATCAAAGTTTATTACTTGACCCTCCTAAGGGGAAAATGCTTGCCACGTTGGGGGACAGATCATTCTCTGCTGCTGCCCCGTACTTATGGAATGCTCTGCCAGCTGAATTACGTGATATTCAATCATTTTCCATTTTTAAATGTAAGCTGAAAACTTATTTATTTCGTGCAGCTTTCTCAAAGTACCCTGTCTGACAATTACTTTATTAGTATTACTAATTAAGTTCCTTATTAAGATCCTTATTCCTAATTAAGATCCTTATTATAGATATTCCATATTATTCTTATTTTTAACATACATTGTTAATATTAATGTACATGTAATTAGTTTTATAAATTTGAATTTACTGTAGTATTTTAAGTTGTTAAGCGCTGTTGATCATTAAATGAAAATTGCGCTCTAGAAGTTATTAAATTGAATTAAATTAAACTCTCAGTGTTATTTAGGTCATAGACACCTACACAAGAAATACGAGTGACAATTCTGTGTTGTAAAGGTTTTCGTCTGAACGCTGGTCGGGAAACGAGCCCGCGGATAGAAGACCGGACTCGATAAAGAGGCCGAAATCGTGCTGAGATTTTCTCTCCCTCTGGATATCTATGCATAGAGTACTTCAAGGAAGAACGGGAAAAAACTTATATACCGCATGTCCATACTTCTTAGGCAAATTTTCAGCATGTTCATAATTGTAAACCAAATTTTTTTAGCAGCAAACTCGGGGATGCTACTTCTGGTTCGGAATTCGTTCGAAATCAGCCCACTTAGTTTGGAGGCATCAGATTTAGTCAGAGAAATAAAGATCAAGTGGATGATGTTTTAGGCGTTAGATCTACGCAAGTATTTACCGAGATATCTTTAAGATGTATTAGATTCTCTGGATCTTTTCTTTGGACCCGTGTGATGCCACTGGTTTACTTCCTCCACAATTATTTAGTCAACCACAACGTTAATATTAGAGATTCATCGAGAAGATGGCTCTCTGTAGAACAGATTACGCTTAAGACATTACGAAATTAATCAAAACTGATTCATGAGCTGTAAAATTGCTCAACAGACAATACTTACCGTGTTGTCCGCTTTCAAAAGTGAAAAGTTAAGATCTTATTGAAGAAGAATGCATCACGTGACCATGATGTTTGCTTTTCAACCACCCCTTCTTCTTCATCGTCACGTCATACAATAACATTCCTCCACCGAAAAGAAAATTAAGCACAATTCTTTCTGAGATTGTTCCGAAGTTTCAAATGTTAGCTTTGATATCATTTTGAGAAAAGCAAAGTACTCCAGCAACAGAAAACGGAAACGTTGATTTACTTTACCCTCCCCTCCCCCCATTTCTCCTTGACTAGCCTTAGTTCTCCACGTCCTGTGTTCCTCTCCAAGAACAGCTCGGATTTGAAGATTGTGGAACGTCTTTGTGGTAGGTTTTAGACACTAAATTTTTTCCCTTGATAATAGGTGGCTTCTTGGAGTGCTATTCGTGTTAAATGAAGTAGATTTAGGTTACTAATGAGACAATGAAATCTTTCAGTTCGGTCAAACACTTTGACTTCTTAGGGACCCAGTTTGCGTCTAAGCAACGAGGAAGCCAGCACAGTCAGTCAGACAGACATAGAGTAGATCACAAGTTTCTTCTAAGCAAGCGTAATGAAACGCTGAAAATATTAACTTAACTTGCTGCAGCTTCTATTGCACCGTTTATTTACTATAAACATGATTCTTCTTGTGTTTGCAGTGATCTTGAAATTATTGAATATATTCCCCAAAATGAAGTTGAAGGGATTGTTCAACAATATTCAACGAGCCTGAGGCAAATAGTTATTTTAGTATAATTGCTCCGGTGCTTTTGAATTCTGTTGTAAATTCTGTAACTGAAGAGAGCTTTGCGCACATTTTAACAGTTGTGTTTACTACTCATATCAAAGTAGGACAGTTATCACAGGTTTATTCAATTTGATCAGCAAAACCTTTACAATTTCCTCTTGAAAAGTGTGCTGCCAAACTCAGTAGCATCTTTTCTGCTCTTTGCAATTTAATTTTTTCCTTTTTATCACTTCCTTAGAAATATATGTCAGAACTTTTTGGGATGTCTTTGGGAATTTTCCAAATGTCCTTGGAGCTGGTGTAGGGTTGTCAGATTTTCTTTGAAAAATTTTCTGGATATTAAGAACATGGCTGACTGACCCTCCCTTTACCAATCCATGGTCACTCATATAAATAAATGTATTGCATCCAAAACAGGGCAAAAGATCAAGATATTCAAGAGGAGACTTCAAAAGCACTTTGTGGTGTGTGCTTGTCATTGAATATTGCAAACATGGATGAGGAGAAGAATGAATGGCTGGCTCAGTACTATTCTCCAAGCAAATGGAACAACAGAATGGACCCAGGAGGGGTAGTAGATTATCATGTGAACATTTGTACTGGCTACAGCAAAACCACTCGTAAAAGCTCTCACTGCGAACTGAGTGTCTGTTATGGTGAAAAGAAAGCTAAGATGGATATATTTTACCCTGCTCAAGAAAATGATGACACAGCTGAATGCGTACATGAAGAGAGTGGCAGCTCTGCAGCAGTGGTGCTCTTTGTTCATGGCGGGTATTGGCAAGAAGGGAGCAGGAAGATTTACAGCTTTGTTAGTGAATCATGGACTAAAGATGGTTGTGTTGCAGCAGTGGTTGGTTATAACCTTGCACCAGAAGCCAGCTTGGATCAGATGGTTGGAGAAATACAGTCAGCAGTGAAATATATCAATACCAGGTTTCCAAAATCCAGGCTATTCTTATGCGGCCACTCAGCCGGTGCACATTTGTGTGCTATGATGATGGTGTCAGACTGGAGCAAAGATCTGTCAATTCCACAAGCCATTCATGGTATGTTCTTATTATCAGGAGTTTTTGATTTGGTACCTATTGTAAGCACTTATGTCAATGATGCATTAAAACTGACTGAAGAATCTGCTGCACAAGTCAGTCCTCAACAAATTCTGACAAAGATGTCACCAACATTTGTCTGCCTTATTCTGGTTGTAATGGAAGAGCACGGATCCCCGGAGTTTCTTCGACAAGCTAAAGAATTTGTTGAAATCTTAAAAAGTCATAAAGTTCAGTGTTGTTTGCTTGAGTTACCAGGAGTAGATCACTTTAGCATGATTGAAAACATGGTGAATAGTGATGATCTCCTCTGCCAGGAGATTTTAAAAGGTGTCAGAAACATCACCTCAGCAAAGAGTGAAAAAGGAGTCAAAGTTCCTGACTCAGGTCTTTGATTTGACTTTGTGAATGTTTTATGTGTTTACCCTAAGGTTAAAAGGTTTAGTTCAAAGTCAATCGGTGGTTTAAAAGTTTTGTTCAGTTTTCAACATGAATATTACCTTGATTGCTTAGGGTTTTGCTTATGATTCTGAGAGCAGGATCTCTTAGAGGAAATGTAAATTTTTTGCTGTTCAGTTTCTTTTTTACACAAGATACGGTATGATAATTTAGAAATTGGTATGATAATGTAGAAAATATTGTATGATAAAAAACTAGTGTAAATATTAAAATTACCTTGAAAACTGGCTTTGTCAGGGATATTTTTAAGGTTTTCTTTGTGTTAATTATACTTATAACATAGCTAGCAGAGCTGCGCAGTCAAATTCAGTACGTGTATTAACATGCTCAAAATCCCCATAGTGCACGCTGATAGCATGGGCAAATTGCTTCGCCAGAAATTTTTTTTCTTGCGAGCAGCTATTGTTAGTGTGGGGAAAAATAATACATTTTGCAACAACAATGGATACAAACAGAGACTTGGCCCACCAGTCCCTAAACAAAGACAATTTTCTGACCTTTCCCCTTGGGCTAAAGTTCTTAAATGAGGGGGAGAAAGAGAAAAACAACGGAAAAGGAGACTTGGCATCAGCGCCGTCACGATTCGCTTTACTGTCCGAGGATGAAATGCAACAAATTTTGACAGAAAGACACTCTGGTAAAACCAAACAAATGACAAACTGGTCTGTATTTAAACTGCAGTAAAATTAAACTTCAGCTTTCAACAGAAAATTTGAAATAAAACCAATTCATATTTTGCTTAATATTTCACTGACTGCAAACAATCACTTCTGATATTGTTGTCTGTTTTTCGTGTCAGATTTGATGCACAATTCCACCAGCTATGTTATAAAAAAATTCCTCGACTTTTGTCTCAGGCAACTCTTACGCTTCTTTTGTGGTCTCCAAACTTCCCACATGCTCCATAACTCGATAGTGCAAACTGAAGTGTGAACCAATTGTTAATTAGTGTAAGTACATATTTATTTTTAAATGCCTTTCAAATGAAGATGCAGAGCTGGTTATTTACACAAGGTCTAACCCAAGCTGCAGTTTTACACAAGCAGAGAGCCTCAGGGATTCTTTATGAAAGATTTGATTTAATTAAATAGATGTCCTTCTTCTATTAGCTTTTGGCCCTCTTGGCGCTGTTAACGAAATTAACATAAACATTCAGATGAAAGATGCTAACCAATGGCTAATATTTGTTTAAATAATTAGCCTGCCTAGGGAATAATTATCAACTTAATTTTAAGTAAAAACATTTTCAATTTACTTTCTGAATAACTGGTTTACAATAGTGATCAAGTTTGTAAGTTCTTCGTTGTAAGTTCAGTATTCATATTCTCCATAGTCTTCTCTATACATTTCCTAAGGTGCTGACAAGGAGAATTTATTGAACAACCAAAAGGATATTTAGTTGGTGATCATTTCCTTTATTCTCATGACATCACTGTGTGATTCAGGGGTGATATTGTAAGGAAAAATCAAATGTTAGTCAATCTTAGGGGTCAGTGGGTAAATTACCAGGCCTCAGTTGGTCTCAAATCTATGCCCCCCAGATGCTAGTTGGACATTGCTACCAAGTGAGCCATGCCCCCACATGTCCAGTCATTATTTTTCAATGCTCCAGCCAAGCTCAATACTTACAGTTATTTCTCCCCACTAATCAGCTGCTCATTAAGTATATTTCGATTTTAAGAAGATAAATTCCATGGGTTGCTTTTGCATTATATCAAGGCTGCCATAAGATAATATTAGACCAGATGATGTAATATTATACATAATTTTGGAATGTGAGAATCTAATATAATTATACATAATTTTGGAATATGATAAACTTAACAAAAGCTCAAAACAACTGTATAAACATCCTATCTTAAAATACTTATAAATCAAAATTATCCAGAATTACATTGTGATCTTCATTTTGAATAATTGAAGATTTGCTATTTACAGTCTGAATGGCTACCCCACATTGATTATTTATTTCTCAACTTCAACAGGCTTCAACAGGCTTCAACCCTTTCCCATCAGATGTCAGTTGGACATTACCACCAAATGAGCTATTGAGGCCACACGTTTGAGGTGCAAGCTCGAGTGATCTATTTTAAATTCTCCCATCAAGCTTCATCCGTACTGCTATTTTTACCATTGAATGGCTGCTTATTAATTATATGTTGATTATTTTTACATGGCATCACTGCAGCCATATTGGTTACCAGAATGATAAAATTGTAGCCAATGTAGTATCCAATTCAGTCCTGTTGGATTTGAATTATTTTCTCATATAAACAGTTTCTATTGTTCCACTAAATTTATGTAAACATCATGTCATGTAGCTGCTTTAAGAGTAGTTGTCAATCTTCGCATCATCTTAATCTTGCATGCATCAACAATATGAGAACATTCTTTTAAAATGTTGAGTCACAGAATAGTTTGAGGCCTTGTGAGAAGAAATTGAGGAAGGGATACTTTGAGTTTGTTAAATATGTAGGAATTTTTGCAGACCACTCAAAACTCACTTATGTATTTGAGAGTATTCTTGAATTCATTTCCTTGCTTGTGTTTCTGTTGGATCCTTGTTGTATTATGCTTTTTTTCATTGTTGTTGTTATTGCCTTTTTTGTGGTCAGATATATGTGGACCATGTGGACATTTTACTCTCTTAATAGGTGTTATAATGCACCCTTGTAAATTAAAGTTTTTCTAAGTTATTCTTAGAATGGCTTTTTTGGTGACTTGTGATCCAAAAATTAGAAACAGACAATCTCAAACATAATTTTTTTCCTCCATCATATAGAGAGTGGTTTTGATAGTTCTTTTTGAGAAAACCTAGGTTTGTTGCATCATTCACTCAGTCCATCTGTAAGGTGAACAGCCTGATGCTGTTTATCGTTTACCGTTTATTAGCTTCACCTTGGGGACACCGCAACAGCTTGCGCCAATTACTGTGGGCCCAGGAAACCCACCCATCCCGGGGAAGACATCCACGACACAGTAATCTCGTGCGTGGGAAATTAACGTCTCCTACCCCTAACCCTGCAGGAGACGGGGCCTACGGTTTATTCGTCCTTATCCGAGAAGACTAGAATATCTATCCATTTCTTGATATTATAGAAAAGTAGCAAATTCTCCTCATTTATTTTAAGACCATGAGTATTGGTCCGGCCGGGGCTTGAAACCTCGACCTCCCGCAAAACCGGCAATCCGGCCCTCTAACCAATAGAGCTAACCGGGAGGCAGTTGGTGGCAGCATATAATGGTTTATCCCATATCATGAATTAACCCCACTTCCAAAGTCAAGTAGTAGCTATTTTTGACGATAGCCCTGCCCCCTTCACTTCTCAAAAGGGCAAATAGAAAATACCCACCCCTCCCCGCTGGAAAACTTATCAATCAAGATGTAGAGATGACTTCATGGAAAATGTGCTCATACAATTTTTATTTATGAATTCATCGATATCAGAAAATGAATAGATTAAAACTGACAGCTGCTCAAATCATTAAAACTGTCTAAAATCATTCTCACTCATTACATGGTTTTCATTTCAACATTAAATTTTTGTAGCCCTGTCTTTCTCTTTACCAATTGGACTGGTATATTGACCAACAAAAAACAGACAGTCTGTTTAAGAGCCAACTGGCCCATCGGGCTGACACTTTACTCTGATTTCCATCGCATGAAGGAACTAAGAGTATTTCTACTCCACCAGGGTGGAGTGCTACTCCACCCCAGCATTAAATTCATTGGTACCTATTTAAACACCTGAGTGAAAACAGGCACCGCCGCGAGAATAAAGTGTAGGAACACAACACAACGTCCCCGGCCAGGGCTTGAACCTTTACCACTCGATCCGGAGTCGAGTGCACTAACCATGAGGCCACCCTTGCCCAGAGAAGCGCCAAAATTATCGCGACTTAGTCCCTACAAAGTGAGATGAACGAAGTAAAACTTCATATAGAGGTAGCTGTTAATTTTATTTAAGATATAAGAAATTCAAATGTGACTATAATCAAAACAAATGACCCAGTGACCATTAAACAAGACAAGTATTTGCGTTTGAAAATCGAATATTCTGATTGAATTCTTCCCCTTGTTTGATATTTTGCTGGGGTTAGCTTCCTTATTGGTCTACGATGACTTGCTTTTATTTAAGGTACCAGAAACTCAGACCTGACGAGCAATTACAGTAAAAAACAATGGTCTAGTAACCTTTTGAACGAAATAAGTTTTTGATAATCGAATATTCTAATTGAATTTTTAGCCCCATGATTTATAAATAGATGGGGTCATTCCGAAAGTCTACAGTGACTAACTGAATACATGAACGATCACTTTTTGACGAATCAATTCCAAAGTTTTTTCCACCCTAAAAAGGTCTGATATTTTGCCAAGGCCTCTTGATTACACAATAAAAACATTTATTTCACATTAAAAAAGATCGTTATCCCAAACATCTATATGACTGACTTTTTTCTTTGTAAGAGAGACTAAAGATAGTTAGCAGCTCATAAATCAGAATGATAACCTTTCCTTTTTGATTTATGATTTACAAGATTTGCCGACAGGCAGGGACACCGCAACAGCTTTGCGCCAATTACTGAGGGTCCAGTAACCCACCCATCCCACCCCAGGGAAGGACATCCATC